GTCGCCCCTAGATATCCGGAAAGTACACTCAACCTCAACAGTTAGTAGAACAACATTCTTCGAGGCAAATCGTCTTTCAGAGGAGCTGAATTTTGCAATTTCAAACAAGGGAAGCAGCGGTTGTGATGCGCGGTGTGCAGTTGACACGAACTACCTAAGCCTACATGGTAGTGACGTGCAACGTGTTAGTACTGACTGATTGCTGCCAAAAAGAGCGAGAAGGACCCCTTCTGCATATCCCTTGACCAACTTAATGATGGTACCTGAAGGAAGCTCGTTGTCTTTCATCATATTCAGCCGTTGACAGGGCTGGCTGCACCAGCCGCAACCTCGCGCTGCAAATTCATGCATGAGACTTTGCAGACCGCAATAGGAATCAAGCTAGCGCACCTCTTTACCCTTTGCAAGAAACGTCAACTATGGGAGGCGGTGCATGTCCTACATGAACTAGCAACCAGATTAATTGGCGATATAGGGGGTGTCAGAAGGTGGTAGATGCTGTGACAGAGAAGTGGGGTGTACCAGTGTGCGTCAAAACTGAAAATACATAAGTGATGATGATAATCGCAAGAAAAGACGCTCTCACATTCTCACGGGCACTTGAATGCGTCTGAATTGTGGCCTATCTCGAGGGAGGGGGTTCAAGGTTAGGGTGTAACAGGGAACTGTAGGATGACTGTGGAGTCAATTACCGAGAGAACAAGATAAAGACACGCACATCTAGATGGTCGCCAGGTTGATCGTCGATCGCATAAACAGAAGGGACTGCTTTAATTTGAGGTGATAAGCGCAGGAGCTTGCACAGGCAGAGAACAAAAATAAACGCTGCAGGTCTATTGTAAGCAGATGTTTTGGGGGCACAGGGTGAAGGATCATACGAAATGAATCATCGCCATGTTAGACTACAATAACTATTCTTGTCAGCACAGTGGAGAATGAACTGGTGTCGTACTTCAAGTAAATGCTCGAAGGTTCGGTCGATCTTCAAGAGAATATCAGTGCCCAGAAGATGTATAATGGATAAACACACACCTGGTGAGCTTCGCTTATCGCGCAGGCCCAACCTGAGCAAGGACGTCAGGTACCGCAGAGTGACGCATATGTGGATGTCCAGCCATGAGTAGTTGCCAGTGTCCAAGCTCAATATCCATGTCTATGACCCGGTCGCTAGTCGTGTGTTTTTCGCAGAAATGTCGATGCAGCTGATCATCTGTGAGTTGCATTGAAACGATTCTTGTCTCAACCTCTGCAGGCTTTGAGCTCAGGCCGCCATAATAATAAAAACTCCACCAACAGCGATAACTTGTCCCTTCACCCCAAATGTGCACAACTTCGTCAAGCTACATATAAACCCGCCTGAAGATCCTACCGCCGAACGGTCTTGTCATGTCAGGTCCACTGAACGTTTGTCGGCCATCCAGAGAGTAGGATGGGGATCGAACATTCCTTTGCTGAGCCTCCAAGTTCCTAAAGGGTGTCAGAATCATCTTGGTTGCTGGAGTGGGAGATTGCGTCGATCGTCTGGAGTTGTGAGGACTCAGGTAGCAATTTGCAAATGATACGTTCGAAGGAAGCTTGTGTGCTGTACATGTAGGCTGTAAGCTAATTATATATTCTTGTCGGAGTCGAAGTACTTACTTCCCGACTGGGAAGGGTTATTACCCTACCGCTGTATAAAGTCCATCTTTATAGAAGGAGGCTCTGGAACGCTAGCTCTGCCTTGTCTTACAGGTGCGAACCCTATGTATTATCACCTATTATTACTGTCGTTACATGGGAATCACAGGTGATGCTGTACGCATCAAGTACACATCGGTTGTCATTCTGGCACTTTCTTGCCTGGAATGTCCATGTCAGCTCCAAGAACTCCCTCCTGGAACATTCTAGAATATGGACTTCGCTACATACACTGCTACTACGTACAGCTCTCCCAGTCAAGTTCCAAGTGAAGGCCACGGACGTTCAATCATCTCCCCGTTGGTATTCTACCGCTGCAGGAAGCTTCCGTCCTCCCTCGCAATTATCTTCCTGTCCTGTGAACCACATCTGCCAGAATATACGCTATGAATGACAAATCAGGTCGAAGTCGACTGACATCTTTTTCTAGCTGGTGAGCACCCTTGCTATCTACTGACGTCAGTGATGAATTATAACTTCTTCAAAGCTTGATGCATTGTACTATGCATCAACCGAGTTCAAGCCCCACTCTGTCATCAACGTTGCCACTCTCATCGGGTATGTATTGATCATTCACACTTCTTCAACCTGAATTTATTATTGATAGGGCTATGGAAGTCGCGCTGGGTGAGATTTACACTGGCGTTTTCACTGTTCGTTATTTCATCACTACCCGCCGACACGCCGTTGACTGAACTCTTGTATTAGACCTCCGATGTCCTCTGGGACCGACCGAGTGTTGCCGGAGAAAGCGAGTACGATCGCTTCTGGCGCATGTCCCTCAACGAGGATTATGGCCCACAGATCTACTGATATAACGCTGACTTGTACAACGTCGGTCATCTATCTTCACGTTAGTCTTGCTTGAACTTGACATTGTCTTTTGTTTTTCAGGCTGGCGGGAAACCAACAAGTTCATGCACCGCTGCATTGTTCCTTAAGGCGTTCGTAGATGGCATCGAGGCCAAGGATAGATAGGAACCCTCTGTCCGATGGGCTCACCTTGATATTGCTGGGACTATGGAGGTAGGAGCTTGTCGCTTGGGAAATCAAATGTAGGACGTATTCCATGAGCGCAAGTGCGATCCAAACAATGGCGTTGTTCGCAGTGTGTCCTTATCATGACTGCCTCTCCATTATTAGTTCTGATCACTGATGATTTCCTTGTAGTTCACGCGCCCAACGCCATACCAAGAGAAAGGAATGACTGGACGTTCTGTTTGGTAAGTCATTTCAAACAAGATTTGGGTGATACATTTTCATAGGGTCATTCAGTGCATTGGCCGAATTTGTTAGATGTCTCTCGAGCCAAGGATGAGATGTGCAGAGATGCGCATTGTGCACTACGCTAGGCCTCCATTTTGCGCGTTTGAAAAACGTCAATGACCTTAACAGTGAAATCTGTGTGCGTAGTAGGATAGAATATTTGATCGAATGATTACTTGATTTGTGGGACTATGCCTGAATCACCAGTATATTTGACAGCATGGTCATGTAAAGCGTGGACGACACCACCGACAATATTCGCTCAAAGTATTCAGCATGCAACGCTGATCAGTGTTGTGGTGTTCTTCCCTCCTGGAGACCGATTGATCGAAGAAACCCGGGTAATTGTTTGTTCCTTGCCTTCAGGAATAGTCGTGGCAGGCAACTATTGTCCCTGGGCTTTGAATATTCTGTCAGAGTTCAAATGAAGTTCGATCACTCCTGCATACATGCATACACATTGAATCACTTTGGGTGCTACATCATATAAAGACGAGGGCGCCCTGTAAGATGCTCGATGTTGATAGACTCGATTATATGGGAATGTAACGACAACTTTGAACTGAGCGCTGGAACAGAGTGTACCCTAGTCTGGCCATGTCTAAGACGGTGACAACGTTGAGCGGCAATTAAGATCAAGAGGGAGTGAAATTCGACACTTGATTCATATATATATATCTAACATCGACTACTGCAAGCACATCATCGCGAAGTACGGCTAGATGCCTTGAATTCAGCAAATGCGAGGGATGAATATTAAAAACTAAGAACTTACACATCTCGGCAACTTGACCAGTGCATCTCATGTGACATGCGGCTCAAATCAAGCTCGACGCCTCCTCTTGGGATCACCGATGAAGTCCGAGGAGTATAAAATGCATGTCGAGAACCGGGAGGTGCCCAGAAAAGGAGTCGACGATTGGGTCCCATCATCCACCCATCAACATGCAGCAAGAAAAGGGTCAAATTGGAATCACGATGAGAGATACCCTCAAAGAGGTCAGCAGGGTTGCACAGCACATGTTCCAACTTGGAGCTAAATGAAGTGTTGGATCTAAGTGTTGGGCGATTTGGTGGGATGCTCCTGTGTCCGAGGGGCAGTGCAACCTGTATCCAGAAAGAAAGAATTTGCTTCGGTGTACTCCACACATGCCCATCCAGATGCTGCATCCCACAGCCGCAGTCTTATCTGCTGAACCAGACGTGATGCGAGCACCATCCGGTGAGAACACAACTGACTAGACCCACTCGGGATGCCTGCTTATCACGATCTGGCCAGCCGTCCAATTCAAATGATGTCCGCAAGCCAGGCAAGCCATGCAAAGGTTGTTTGGACTCGCGCTAAGATGTAGTCAATGAATGATATTGCATTGCAGGTTTGATCAGGTCATGATGACTTATCTGAGTCTCACTGCAGGCTCCACGGTACGCAGATCAAAGTCAACACGAGGCAGAAGCCACAGCAATAACACGCGTTGAAGGAACGTCACAGAAAAAAGTCGAACGCAGATTAGGTTCTTGATCAAAACATCCATTCGAACGAGGCGACGAACAGTAACTGGAAGTTTGTAGCACCCTGGACCTGTTATGACTCCGAGTGCACAGTCACTTACCCTTAAGCTTCAACCTTCTGCACTTCCACAGCCCCCATGCTCCAAGGGCAACATCCTGCAATCTCTCACTACCGCAGTGCAAGTTTGATGTTATTGATGCTCGGACTTGTTGTTAGAGGCAATTCTGGCAAACGAGTTAGCTTGGAGTCATAACAGGGTACTACAAAGTTCAAACTCCCAGTATTTACTATTCAATTTCGTCGCCTCATTTGATAATAAATCGAGAACTTAATCTGCATTCGTCTGCAACATTCACGGCGATTCGAAAGAAAAACATTGCACTGGATGTAGGGACATCTTGTAATGGAAACCATGAGGATAATCAGTAAACGCTCATCACACTGCCGTTCTTCTGCGTGTTATTGCTGCGGCTTCTTTCTCATGTTGACTTTGATTTGCGTACCGTGGAGCCTGCAATGAGACTCAGATAAGTGATCATGACTCAGTGATCAAACCTGTTATTCATTGATCACACCTTAGCGCCAGTTAAAAGGTTTATAAGGAGGTCTATGCTACCCATGGTCCCCTAGAATTTTCCTGCTTTCCAATATCGTTGCGATGAAGTACGAGTCACGGAAGTTCATCGACCTCATTCAGCGAGCTACATCTAAGTGGGCCAATTGGGACCCGCCAAAAAATATCGCAGTATGTAAAGACACTTCTTGATTTCAACTAACCTGACAAACACAGGTGGGCGATTATGGAACTATCATCAATGAAACTGGAGAATTTGATTGGGAAGGAAACATATACAGCCCGCATGTCCAGGAACAGCTTAAATTGTCCAAGTACAAACTCAACATCAACCTGGCCGATCCAGAACTACGCCCGAATGAACAGGAAACAGGCAACAACCACTTTATCGTCAAATCGTGGGGTGTCGCCACTAAGGAAATCAATGCCTCTGCTGATGTGTAGGCGCTACAAAATGCAGTGTTTGGTTCATATATCTGACCATTTTGCAGCGCTGTGCTGGGTGTAGTAAATGTTGCCCTCAAGCTCGATTTGCAGTTTGATGGTAACAAACCAGGAGCTGTGTTGGTCATGCACAAGCCAAGATACAGTAGCCTTCCTCACGACGAGCGCCTCACCAGGCTGCTCAAGTCCATGCCTGGTGTCCTCAAAGGGAAGTACATCGTCACCGAAGTGATATCCTGCGCAGCATATATGATGCATCTGTCTGACCAAAGTAAGTCTGGTATGTGCGAATTCAATTTCTGCACTGTTCACACTTGGCATAGAAGAAGAAAAGTTTTCTGTGACACTTGAAGCCGTCGGGCCTGTTACACCAGGTATCAACACTGGAGGAACAGCCAGTTTCACCTGGTCTTCAGAAGCTGCTTATGGCCTTTCCCGTAAAGGATGCGACCTGGGTGTAAAATACATGCCGTTATACAGGCTGAAAATTCCTCGTCCCAAGTTCTGGGAGTGGCCTTCCAGTCACCGCGGAGATGAGAAGATTAATGATGTGATCAACAGGTAAGTTTAAATCGTCTCGTGGCTCAACAGTGCAATAACCTCCTTGCAGGCGGGAGGATGTCGACCCACCTTGGGGCCCCCTCGACAATGAGGGAGAAGAGCATGAATTCTATGATGCAGTACGTTATCGATGTTTTTATTAGAACCTGGCTTGATTTGTCTCTCTCCAACAGGAGATGCATGGTGACTTCAGCGTTTTCAATGATGGTTATCCTGAGTAAGTGTTACTCCTGCACAAACCTCGCATATATCTCAAGTGCCCCTCATAGCAACCACGACGATGACAACTACTGAACTATGATCATTCACAAATGGTATTACTGCTACACCACTTGAGTTCAAGTGTCCCAATGGCCAAATCATGTAACTTTGTATGTAGACGAGCGACATTAGTGAAAGAGTATTAACACGATAATTCACGTGTTACATGGACAAAGTGCCTTTTCTCCTCAAATCTGAACGTCAGACGACTGCTATTAATGATGTTATGCCAGCGCTAAGCTGATCCGTTCAACTGTGATACATACATGAAACACGTAGACGATATATAGTCAAGTTATCCGAATTTGAACTTGCATAGGCATCTCATTTATGGTAATAAACAATTCTCCATATTCCCGTCAGCCTGCTCGTGTTCAACTAAGTCGTGCATGATTATTGCAGTTTTCTTCTTTGAAGCATCAGAGACGAACAAGATTCCGAATTTGATGATATTTTTGCTGATCGTTGTTCCCCCACTCTTGAGCAGCAAATGTCATTCCACAACAATTATACGAATTTGAACTTCATTCTTACCCACCAGTGCATCTTAGGGGCAGTTACCTGTGGTTCCGAGACAACACACTGGAAAATACAAATAGAAGTCTACACTGGGTGCACATATCGGGGAGGTATACATTTCCACAGTCTGAAATATAGAAATTTATGTTCTTGGCAACAGACTGCACATAGTCACAGCTTGATGCTACATGCGAAGTCGTCAGATTAACGCGTTAATCAACAGGCTAGGAGTATGCACGAAATCAATCATATGCCAATATGCATGAACACTATGCGCTGCTCCAGGGGCATGTCCTTGTCGCAAGCCAACGACTGGACCGCTTTGTGCAACACTCGGGCAGCTCGCTTGGAATTCATCTTGCCATCCCCGCACAAGTTTTTGTAGAATGCCTGGACTAAGCGCTGCACAGTACTGTCATTGACCTTCCATAATGTCCCAACGATGCTCTTAACACCAGCGAATTGCAGGCCAGCCGCTAGGTGTATCACTTCGTCAGGAGTATCACGGTCACCGACTGCGGTATCACAGGCAGAAAGAAATGTAAATTCATGCCGAGACAGATCTGTTTGTGTGATATCCAGGAGTGAAAGCGGCTGATCTCGCATGAGAAAGGCCGAATTGAAGGGGTCCTCATATTTCTGTGTCCCGTGACACGAAAAATGGAGCCAAGTATTCTCTTCGCAGGCGTGCGCAGTGCCCTCGATTTCGTTGCATCGACGCTCGTTATCTTGGTGAAGGAAACAGTCGGGGGAGGTGGTAAAAGACTCCGCACTAATTTCAGTTCAGGCTCCACACATTCCTAAAGTGTATAAGGACCGGCTGGGCGATCCTGACCTGATAGGCAGCAAAGGACACTGATAGAGATCTGTCATGTCTGCGAGCCTTTATCAATGCGGTAAGCGATGGCGTGTATGAAGAGACGTAGAACTGTGAAAGGAACTGTCCATCTTTCCAGTACTGGCCTGCAGTGTGCACCGGCAGGAAATTGAAGACAGACGTCAGGGCACCACCATATTCGGGAGCTGGTCGTGCAAATCCGCTCAGATTTTCGATGACCAGGCGGACGACATCATCCCACAACTCCGTCAAGGCTGTTGTCAAGGCTGGTGTACTTCTGCGTTGGAGTCTGGCTGCCAATGCCTGGAGTTTCTTAAGATCGGTGGGGAGTGGAATCTTAGTGGGAGGTTGCTTGTGCGGGATAATAATGGCATCACAAGACAACTCGCTTGCAATGAGCACAATGATAGGCCCATCACAAGCTGCATCTTGAAGATCGGAGAATAAGGGGGGGAGGAGGAAGCGAGAATAGCCCTCAATCTTCCGAATCTCTTCTACAGCTCCATTCCAGTCCTTCACTAAACGTCTGTACCGGGTTTCTTCTGCTTCTACATCAACTATTGGGGTCGCTTCTCGATCGTTCACAGGAGGTTTATCAAGGAATGGAGCTAAGGTCTCTGAATTTCTTCACCAGGGCCGCTGCGTGATCGCTGCATGTCTGGAGGCTGTTGAGAGGCGTGTGGAGTCGTGTCATCTGTGTCCAGATGATAGTCCTCCCTCGTTCCAACAACTCAATAGCGTGACACACGTCACCACCACGAAGAGCACACGATGCAGCTTCCACAGCAAGTGTACTTGGGAAGTCCTTCATGATAGTGTGACCAAGACGATACTGAAAGCTGTCGTGGACATGAAAGCGTCCATACGTCCGCATGGAAGTCGCACTAAGCCTCCATCTCAGTACCATGTGGATGTTGACGAGTTATGGTGAACCCACCTCAGGCTTACTCGCAGGCGGAGCCCGCAAGCCTGCAGGAGAACATATTTTTGCGTAGCCGTCGAGATGATGCATGGCAGTATTCATATTGTCACTATCATTCGCCGCGCGCAGGTGCCATCAAGCTCTGAATGATGGAATGATAGATAGACAGTAGCGAGCGACTCATGGACATGCAATTGGACAGGATCATGTTGCATCAACAGAGCCGATGCCACAGTGTAGGTTCTCTCGTGACTCGTCGAGGTCGTCTCTATTGGCCGCGAATGTGTAAAGCGGGTGGAGAGTTTCATCAGCAAGGTTGATTAATGACGACGACCGATCTGTGTGACAGACCGGGTGCAAAAAGCCAGTGCTTCCTGTGAAGTGGCGATAAGCCGGAGATCCAAGTCTTCGTACATTGCCTCAGTGATCAAAGTGGAAGGAGAGTTGATTCGCAAGGTTATTTAATAACCCAGACTGATCTATGTGACCGATCGGACACAAAGCAAGCACTTCTGTCTGAAATGCGATAGCCTGATCCAAGTCTTCGTCATTGCCTCCGTGGTGGAAGCGGATAGAGAGTTGAGTCGCAAGGTTATTTAATGACTTGGACCGATCTGTGTGACCGACCGGGTGCAAAGTCAGCGCTTCCCTGCAAAGTGAGATGGTCTGATCCAAGTCTTCACCATTACCTCGGTGCTCAAAGCGGGAGGAGAGTTGAATCCCAAGGTTATTTAATGACTTAAACCGATCTGTGTGACCGACCGGGCACAAAGCCAGCGCTTCCCTGTGAAGTGCAATAGCCTGATCTAAGTCTTTGTCGTTGCCTCAGTGCCGAAAGCGGGAGGAGAGTTCATTCGCAAGGTTATTTAATGACGAGGACCAATTTGCGTGACCGACTGGGCGCAAAGCCAGTGCTTCCCTCTGAAGTGCGATGGCCTGATCCAAGTCTTCATGGTTGCCTCGGTGGCGAAAGCGGAGGCAGAGTTGAGTTGCAAGGTTATTTAATGACGAGGACCGATTTGCGTGACCGACCGGTGTCATGCATGGTATGGAGTTCATACCATGACATATACGAATAGCAGTGTAAAAGGAGATGAGTAGAGGAGTGTACAAAGGATATACTTCCTACTTATGTAAGCTTTGTTTCTATTTATTTAGTTGTATTTGTAGTTTCTGTCTCTTTCCATTATTTGTTTATGTTTATTCAGCCACTTGATTACATCAGTGAGCCACTCAGATATGTTTGTAAGCATGTCATGTGACTGGTAATATTCTGATTTGTAAGGACTTTCCATGACTCATCATGTTTTGTCATGATTCGTCATGCTTTGTAATATTTTACAGTGCTTTGTAATATTTTACTCATGTACTTTAGTAAGCAGCTGATTCAGCACACCAAAAGGCTTGGTTTGTAAGCATAATCTTACCAATCCAGTGATGACTCATTGCTTAGTAAGGATGGTTTCTAAAATGTATATAAGGACTCCATTCTCACATAATATATAAGTTTTTCCCCTTCCATTCTTTTCCCAAACCGTGTGGGAACGTAGGAATTTGAAGTCAGGAGTTTTCCCACTTTCTGTCTCAACACTGTGAGATCATGAAGAAAGTGAAGGCCTACGAGTTGCCTTTGAAAACAATCGTATTCTTTAGTCTAGATTGATTGTATACTATCTTACAGGGATCGCCTATACAATAATCTATCATTTTATACATCGTTTTACGTATTCGTGCCACATTCAGTTCAGAGAGGTCCATATTACCTACTAGGTTTAAGATAGCCTGACAAAATATATACTACTCCTTTACTATCAAGAAGTGATCCAGCAAAGAAGTAATTTATTACCCTTTGGCCACCCACGAACACCACGTTATCAACCGAGAAGTAGAAAATCCGTTGACTGTGAACTTGAGGAGCTGGCACCTTAGTCTTAAAGAATACAATTGTGATAGTCATTGTATTCTGATCAACATATAAGACCCTCAAGTAAGAAGACACCAGGAATGAAGCCAGCGCTTCCGCATGAAGTACGATAGCCTGGTCCAAGTCTTCGTCGTTGCCTCGGTGCTCAAAGCAGAAGGAGAGTCCATTTGCGAGGTTGTTTAATAACTTGAGATGATCTGTGTGACCGACCGGGCACAAAGCCAGCCCGTCCCTCTGAAGTGCGATGGCTTGATCCAAGTCTTCCTCATTACCTCGGCGTTCGAAGCGAGTTTGCAGCATTACAGCCAGGTTACCTAGCAACTGCCCTTTGCCATGCCCAGTGTTGTAGTACTCCAATGCATCATTATGAAGGGATATCACTTCATCTAAGACATGGAGCTCATCTGCATACAAACAGCACTCTGCTAGACAAGCAAGTTGATTCAGCGATAACAAGAGCATGGATGCACCAGGTCGCTCCTGCCTGAGATCATTTACATCAATGCTCCCAGAAGAACCCAGACTGGCTGTTTCGATTGCAATCAAAGCTGCTCTGTGAATGTGACTGTCGGCGTGGCAGACATTGACAACTTCGCTCAGTAACTGCTCAGCCCAATCAGCATCCATCTGAAATCCCATTTTCGCAAAGCGAGAAAGCAGAGCAATGGCAAGATGGAGCTGGGTGACGGTTCGGTCCAGATGATCTGTGGGACGCAAATCAAGGGCGCCTAGAAAAAGAGAGATAGGTATGTCGAGGTCGAGGTATGTTCCGTTAGCTTGGCAACTAACAAACTTTGCGGTGGCTAGATTGAACAGTGCCGCAGGGCGGTAGGGATGGTCCATGGGGCAGAGATCCGAAGCATGTTCAAAGTGCTCTATGGATTGGTCGAGATCCCTGCTGTTCTGCGTCCTGCGGTATTGTGTGAGAAGACGATGTCCGGCATCCGTCGTTAGTGCTAACGCATCCATATCAGGGGATGTAAGCTACACCATTACCAGCTCTCAGCACCAGAAAGTTAGACTGCATTGATCACTCACGGTAGTCAGGGGACAAAGAACTGTGATTTTGTTTTGATCAGAAAGTTGCTGTTCCACTGTTACAAACAGTGAAGTACACGGGGATACGACTTCCCCCTGCTTGGGCTGAAAGATTATGGCTGTGATACTCATTAACATCTGTCAGGCATTATTTGCAATAGGCCATACTGACGATGCGATTTTTCGCTGCAATCCAGTAATTCTCCGACGGAGGTCTCCAATGTACGGAGGGCTTCACCATGACATAACATGGGACCCAACTCAAATGAGGCATAAACGCTGACCCGAACTTCAGAAGATGGCTCGCATGGCCTAGAGTCTTTCTTAACACCTGTAGGAAAGATGAAATTGAGGACTTACAGAAGTATGGGCTCATTCCATTCGACGACAGCCTGATCTACATGTACAGGTCTGTTACTTGTCTGGCGTTCAGTACCGTCAGCCTTGACCACCACATGGAAGCCAGCGGGGATTCGTCGGAGACCAAGAGCGAGATCAGTTGCGTGAATGGCTTGTAAATCGTCAATACATGCTGAACAGAAATTGATATCACATACCAGTAATGACGACTTGTTGCACTCCAGTGATGCGTGTCTCTCCCGGGCCCTGGGGTTGTTCTGGGTGGCTTTGCTCCTCACCCAAGGCTTGGAGAGTATCCTTAGTGAGTGGGTCTGGCACGGAGTCTGTCGCAAAACGAAATAGCAGAGCAATGACGAAATAAAGTGTCGCAAGAATCGCTTTGGGAAATCATCGGTATGTGCTAAATGAAGATATATGACACATACTATTGACAGGCGACTTGTAGGATTTCACTGATCACATTTGTCTGTCCTAGGTACTGGGGGCGTTCTGGATGGCTCGGCCCCTCTGCCGAGGGTGGAGGGTATTCACCAAAATGACCAGGGATGAAGCTTGGCATATGGGTAAGGGATGAATTCAAACTAACACTTGAGAGTAAGGTGTGTGCTGGAGGAGGTCACGAAAAATGCAGTACCTGTGAGGTCCTGATGGACTATAAAGGAGGAAACTACAGCATGCAGCGCTGATGTAAATAGGACAGAAGCGACTCACAGGACATGATTGAGCCATCCATAGCCTCATTTGCAATGAACATCAGATTTTTATGGTAAGGGTATGTTGTGTGGTGTGATATTGATCGGAGCAGCCGAAATGAAGAGGCTGTGAGGCTCAAGAATTAAGCTTCAAGAAAGGCAGAGCATTCCATACTTTCACAAGAATTTGCGTATTGCGAAGGACTGCCTGAATGTCACCCGGCGCCCTTGACATGGACAGGCTATCCTAAGACAACATGTTGCACGAGAGGAGGCACGGAACTGACAAAAAGGAATGTACATGTTGAACTTACTTTCCCGAAGCATCACGAGCAGTGAGTAGTGTTGTTGGCAGAATGAAATATTTCTGCCAATGGCAATTGCCGGCAGTAGGTCGAAGGTGGTTGGCAGAAGTCGGCAGAATTATGATAACCTAGTACTTGTTCCTACTAACAAACAATAGAAATTTGACATATGGTTGAATGTATCTTGGTGTGCAAGTTGGCAATTACCATGGCCCAAAAACCCAAGGGCCATCATGTCCAAAACATCGTGTCTGACCACTTTTTCCCAGGGAGAAAGTCAAAAACAACTTGAAACACTACTTTTTCAAATGTATCTACTGCTCACATCCATTCAATTGTACCTCACACAGCCGATATCAAGCACTACTTTTCATCTCAGTCTGTTTGAATCACTTCATGCAAGCTATGCATACTTCCTGTACAAGATGGACTCCAAAGCTGGGAAGCCTGTTTGTCGAAAACACGCACATATACCTGTCCTAAACATAGACTCGATGTTGCTTTCGCTGACAAGTTGCAAAAATTGGTTGCTTGGATTCAGCAGACTCTGATGACTAAGACTATCTTGTAGGTCTGGAATCAATGACTGACAAGGAGTTGATGTGAGCAAATTTCAGCAAAGGATTCAAGCGCAAGACATGAGAAGCTGACCAACTGCGAGAAAACGACGGGGCAGGCAATAGTTTGATTGCAGGTGATGTACCAGACATTCTGGATAGCGGCATCATTGACTTGAGCCTGAGTGGGCTAGAGGGTTGACAGAGGTATCATGCGTTGAAGAGATTGATGTACTCAATAAAGGCTCAGAGAGTGCATCAGGGTGGAATATTGATGCACATTTGATGTCAGAAGGTGTAGCCTCGATGTAGTGGTCAAAGCTATTTTTGCCGTAGTAGAAACATAGTGGAAAAGAGCCAAAAACACTCACAATACTTTTTGCTGACTTCTGCCATTCTGCCAATTGCCGTTCTGCCATTTTGCCAATTGCCACGAGGCCAATTCCTTTCTGCCCCCTACACTAGCAGTGAGGCCTAGGCCTTGCAAGCTTGAGGCCTAAGGTTCTGTGAACTTTGAAGTAATTAGTAAGTTACTTTCGATATCAAAATCAACTTCGTCCAAACGGCCGGATCAAACTGTAATGAAAAGGCAGTCTCCCGCATGTGTGCTCAACCGCAAAGCTTCCTGTGCTGCCACAGCTGGAGCGTTGCCAGCAATATCTTTTCATCCGAATCACATTGTATCTCCTCGCTTTTCAGTTACAAATTTGGTTTTCTACACACACTAGCAGACACACATGTGGACTCTCTGGCCAACTCACTCACCATGAATCTTGCAGAAGCCTCGTCCTTTGTACATTCCCTGCAATACGCACCATTGACAAATGTCTAGTTCACCTGCTCAATCAAAGACGACAATCAATGTTAACAGAGTTATTGTTCAAGGGATTGCCAGCTGGTGTGTAAAGATGTAGATGATTATCGAAGAAACAGGTTTCTGCTGACATCAGTTCCAAAGTACCGCTAAATTATTTTTATCAGTGGCGAGTAGCCACAACGTCTGGCACTTTCTAGTGGTCGACCGCCATGTGCCTGGAATGTCCATGTCAGCTCCAAGAACTCCAGCTTATCTGACAATCCGGCAAATCATTATCATCCGTCCTCCCTCCCTAGAACATGGACTTCGCTACATAAACTGCTACTACGTACAGCTCTCCCAGTCAAGTTCCAAGTGAGAGCCACGGACGTTCAATCATCTTCCGGTTGGTATTCTACCGCTGGAAGCTTCCATCCTCCCACCCAATTATCTTCTCATCCTGTGAACCGCATCTGCGTTATGAATGGCAAATCCGCCGAGGTTGACAACTTCTTGTTCTGGCTGGTGGGCACCCTTGCTATCTACTGACGTCGTGATGGATTCTAACTTTCTCAGAGATGCGTTGTACTACGCATCAACCGAGTTCAAGTCCGCACACGGTCATCCGATGTTGCCACTCTCACCGGGTATGTGTTAATCATTCACACTTCTCAGCCTGAATTTATCATTGATATTTCGCGCTGGGTGAGATCTACGCTGGTGTTTTCACGGGTTGCCATCTCATCACTACCCGCCAACATGCCTGTTGACGGAACTCTTGTATTAGACCTGCGATGTCCTTTGGGACCGACTGAGTATTGCCAGGAGAAAGCGAGTACGATTGTTTCTGGTGCATGCCTCTCAACAAGGATTATGGCCCACAGATCTAACGCTGACTTGTGCAACGTCGGTCATCTACGCGTAAGTCTTGCTTGAACTTGACATTGTCCTTTGTTTCTTAGGCTGGCATGAAACCAACAAGTTGATGCACCGCTGCACTGTTCCTTAAGGCATTCGTAGATGGCATTGAGGCCAAGGATGGATAGCCCTTTATCCGATGGGCTCACCTTGATATTGCTGGGACTATGGGGTTAGGAACTTGTCGCTTGGGAAATCAAATGCAGGATGTATGCCATGAGCGCAAGTGCGATCTAAATAATTGTGTTATTCGCAGTGCGTCCTTTATCATGACTGTCTCTCCATTATTAGTTCCGATCACTGATAATTTCATTGTAGTTCACGCGCCCAATGCCATACCAAGAGAAAGGAATGACTGAGTGTACCGTTTGGTAAGTCGTTTTCAATAACTTTTATACATTTATTTAATATCATCATTTAGTGCATTGGTCGAATTTGTTAGATGTCTCTCGAGCCAAGGATGAGATGTGCAGAGAGGTGTATTGCACACTACGCTAATCCTCCATTTTGCGCATTTGCAAAATGTCAATGACGTTAACAGTGAAATCTGTGTGCGCAGTAGGATACAATATTTGATCGAATGATTACTTGATTTGTGTGGACTAACCGTCCGAATGTTTGCAGGGACTATGCCTGAATCACCAGTGTATTCAACAGCATGGTCATGTAAAGCGTAGGCGATGCCACCGACAGTGTGTTCAAAGTATTTCAGCATGCAACACTGATGTGTTGTGGTGCTCTTCCCTCCTGGAGACCGATTGATCAAAAAGACCTGGGTAATTTCCATTCCTTCTCTTCAAGAATAGTCGTGGCAGGCAACTATTGTCCCTAGGCGCTGAATATTCTGTCAGAGTTCAGATGAAGTTAGATCACTCTTGCATACATGCATGCACATTGGATCACATTGGGCAATACAACATATAAAGACGAGGGCACTCTGTAAGATGCTTGATGTTGATAGACTCAACAACCAAGCGCTGGAAAGTGTCAGCGTTGAGCGGCAATGAAGATCAACAGGGAGCAAATTTCGACACTTGATTCATATATATCTAACATCATCGCGAAGTACGGCTAGATTTTTTGAATTCAGCAAATATGAGGGATGGGTAGTAAAGGGTAAGAACTTACGCATCTCGGCAAATTGACCAGCATGTCCCATGTTCCATGCGGCTCAAATCAAGCTCGACGCCTCCTCTTGGGATCACGAGTGAAATCCAAGGAGTATAAAATGCATGTTGGGAAGCGGGAGGTACCCAGAAAAGGAGTCGACGATTAGGTCCCATCATCCACCCATCAGCCCGCAGCAAGAAAAGGGTCGAATTGGAATCATGATGAGAGATACCCTCAAAGAGGTTAGCAGGGTTGCACAGCGCGTGTTCCAACTTGGAGCTAAATGAAGTGTTTCGGCGACTTGGTGGGATGCTCCTGTGTCCGAGGGGCAGTGCAACCTGTATCCAGAAAGAAAGAATTTACTTCGGTGTACTCCACACATGCCTATCCAGATGCTGCATCCCACAGCCACAGTCTTATCCGCTGAACCAGACGCGATGCGAGCACCATCCAGCGAGAACACGACTGACTGGACCCACTCGGGATGCCTGCTTATCACGATCTGGCCAGCCGTCCAGTTCAAATGACGTCCGCAAGCCAGGCAAAGGTTGCTCGGACTCACGCTAAGGTGTAATCGATGAATGATATTGCATTGCAGGCTGGATCAGGTCATGATGACTTATCTGAGTCTCACTGCAGGCTCCACGGTACGCAAATCAAAGTCAACACGAGACAGAAGCAGCAGCAATAACACGCGTTGAAGAGCGGCAGTGCGATGAGCGTTAAGGCTGATTATCCTCGTGGTTTCCAACCAGGTGTCCATACATCCTGTTCCTCTTTCGAATTCCCGTGAACGTCGCAGAAAAAAGTCGAACGCAGATTAGGTTCTTGATCAAAACATCCATTCGAACGAGGCGACAAACAGTAACTGGAAGTTTGTAGCACCCTGTTATGACTCCGAGTGCACAGTCACTTACCCTTAAGCTTCAACCTTCTGCACTTCTCTCACTACCGCAGTGCAAGTTCGATGTTATTGATGCTCGGACTTGTTGTTAGAGGCAATATTCTGGCAACCGAGTTAGCTCGGAGTCATAACAGGGTACTACAAAGTTTAAACTCCCCGGGCCAGTATTTACTATTCAATTTCATCGCCTGCGAGTCTGAGTTCTGGATGTTTTGATCAAGAACTTAATCTGCGCTCGTCTGCAACATTCACCGCAATTCGAAAGAAAAGCATTGCACTGGATGTATGGACATCTCGTAATGGAAACCACGAGGATCATCAGCTTAAACGCTCATCGCACTGCCGTTCTTCTGCGTGTTATTACTGCGGCTTCTTCGTGTTGACTTTGATTTGTGTACCCTGGAGCCTGCAATGCGAGATCATTCATCAATTACACCTTACTATTAGCACCAGTCAAAAGGTATATAAGGAGGTCTATGCTGCCCATGGTCCCCTGGAATTTTCCTGCTTTCCAACATCGTTGTGATGAAGACTAAGTACGAGTCACGGAAGTTCATCGACCTCATTCAGCGAGCTACATCTAAGTGGGCCAATTGGGACCCCCCAAGAAAGATCACGGTATGTAAAGACGCTTCTTGATTTCAACTAACTTAACACTCACAGGTGGGCGATTATGGAACTATCATCAATGAAACTGGAGAATTTGATTGGGAAGGAAACATATACAGCCCGCATTTCAAGGAACAGCTTAAATCGTCCAAGTACAAATTCAACATTGACCTGGCAGATGCAGCACTACGCCCCAATGAACAGGAAGCAGGCGACGACCACTTCATCGTCAAATCGTGGGGTGTCACCGCTAAAGAAGCCAAAACCTCTGCTGATGTGTAAGCGCTACAATATGCAGTGTTTGGTTCATATATCTGACTGTGCTGCAGTGCCTGTGCCGGGTGTAGTGAATGTCGCCCTGAAACTCGATTTGCAGTTTGATGGTAACAAACCAGCAGCTGTGTTGGTCATGCACAAGCCAAGATACAGTAGCCTTCCTCACGACGAGCGCATCATCAGGGTGCTCAAGTCCATGCCTGGTGTCCTCAAAGGGAAGTACATCGTCACCGAAGTGATATCTTGCGCAGCATATATGATGCATTTGTCTGACCAAAGTAAGTCTGGTATGTGCAAATTCAATTTCTGCACTGTTCACACTTGGCGTAGAAGAAGAACAGTTTTCTGTGCCGCTCAAAGCCGTCGGGCCTGTCACACCAGCTATCAATGCTGGAGGAGCAGCCAGTTTTGCCTGGTCTTCAGAAGCTGCTTATGGTCTTTCCCGTCAAGGATGCGACCCGGCCGCAAAATACATACCGTTGTACAGGCTGAAAATGCCTTGTCCCAAGTTCTGGGAGTGGCCTTTTGGTCACTGCTGGAGATGGGAAAAATAACGATGCGATTGACAGGTGAGTTTAAATAGTCTCATGGCTCAGCAGTGCAATGACCTCCTTGCAGGTGGGAGGATGTCGACCCACCTTGGAACCCCCTTGACAATGAGGGCGAAGAGCATGAACTCTACGATGCAGTACGTTATCGATGTTTTTATTAGAACCTGGCTTGATTCGTCTCTCCAACAGGAGATGCATGGTGACTTCGGCATTTTCAATGACGGCTATCCTGAGTAAGTGTTACTCCTGCACAAACCTCGCATATATCTCAAGTGCCTCTCATAGCAACGACGACGACGACGACGACGACCACTGAACTATGATCATTCACAAATGGTATTACTGCTACACCACTCGAGCTCAAGTGTCCCAAAGGCCAAATCATGTCACTTTGTATGTAGACGAGCGACATTAGTGAAAGAGTATTAACACGATAATTCACATGTTGCATGGACAAAGTGTCTTCTCTCCTCAAAATTGAACGTCAGATGACTGCTGTTAATGATCTCATGCTAGCACTTGATACGTTCAACATGAAACACACAGAGAGAGGCGGTGTATAGTCAAGATACCATTTGAACTTGCAAAGCGCGTCAACTCATCACTAGCAATAATGAGTGGAACTACGACGTTATGGCAGCAGAGACTAGAGCCAACGTTTCGGGGTTCCAATTTGAAATGGAGGCTAGCTGTGAAACAGCTTCAATTCAGCAACTAGTATACTTCCACTTCTCTAATATGCCACTATCGCCTCACAAGTGTCCGAAGTCAATTTGGCGCTGTATTCATTCTCCCAGTTGTAGCTTCAAGTTACCTGCTTTCCTCCTCATTAATTCCAGCACGCGATTGCATCCAATGACGTTCAACAATCTCAACAGCCTCGAATCTAACACACAGACAAGTCAAAGCCCTCGTTTGGCTTTGAGCCTGTTACGTTCGTGGAATATGAAGTTGGTCCGGTCCGCTTGCTGCGAGGCTTCGTTATGAAGTTGAGCAGATCAACAGGTGGCTGGGTCAGATGCGTCTCTGCAGAGTTGAAGTCGTCATTTTTTTCGTTGAGCTCATCCTTTTGGACAGAAAAATTTGTAATTATATATCTATTTGAAATTCAGAACTATTGATCTCTCGTGCTTGGATTTGAGTTCACACCGGGAGATACGCAAATCTTGTCGTCATCGTTGTGGGTTGAAGTCATTGATTACTGCAATGTTGCTCAGAATAGACTGGGGTCTGTCCTGGTCTCCCTCCATATCTCGCAGGGAATGGTTAATGACTGCGATACAGTCATACTTTCGGAAGTCCTGCTGTGCGACAGTCTGCTGTCAAAACATCGCAAGGTTGCTCTCTCGCATCAAATCTCTACCGTCCGAGTCCTTACTCATACATCAATCGGCCAGAAACTTCATGGCAGCACACAAACAGGACTTTCAGACCTGCCAGACGGTCCTACTATTGTGTTTCGAAGATCTCAGAATTTCAAAATAACGACTTCAGTAGCACAGACGCCAGTGCCTTGGGCGACTCGACAAAACTTCACGATCTGCAATTCAACGCCAACGAAAATGTTTATCAAGCTATCAAGCAACAGCATCACTTTGGTGGATGCGGCTGCATTGTAGCGTGCAGATTGTACAAGCGCATTGACGCAGTGCGGAATTTCGTTGATGTTGTACATTCAAGGATGCTCCTACGCAGTGCAATTGTGTCTTGCTGAGGTGTCATACCACAACAGTCATACGACTTTGAACCTCATTCTTACCCACCAGTGCATCTTAGGGGCGGTTACCTACGGTTCTGAGGCAACAGACTGGAAAATACAAATAGAAGTCTACATTGGGTGCACATATCGGGGAGGTATACAGTTCCACAGTCCGAAATATAGAAATTTATGTTCTTAGCAACAGGCTGCACGTAACCACGGCTGGATGCTACTCGTGAAGTCGTCAGATTAATGCGTTAATCAACAAGCTGGAAGTACGCACGAAGTTGATCATACACCAATATGCATGAACACTATGCGCTGGTCCAAGGGCATGTCCTTGTTGCGAGCCAACGAGTGAACCGCTTGGTGCAGTGCTCGGGCAGCTCGTTTGGAATTCATTTTGCCATCCCCGCACAAGTCTTTGTAGAATGCCTCGACTAAGCATTGCACAGTATTATCGTTGACCTTCCATAATGTCCCAACAACACTCTTAACCCCAGCGAATTGCAGGCCAGCCGCTAAGTGTATCACTTCGTCGGGCGTTGCAGGGACACCGACTGCGGTTTCACAGGCAGAAAGAAATGCAAATTGATGCCGAGAGAGATCCATCTGTGTGATATCGAGGAGTGAAAGCGGTTGGTCGCACATGAGAAAGGCTGAATTGAAGGGTTCATCAAATTTCTGTGTCCCATGGCACGAGAGATGGAGCCAAGTATTGTCTCGCAATGCACGTAGTGCTCTCGATTTCGTTGCATCAACACTCGTTATCTTGGTGAAGGAAACCTCCGGGGAAGGGGGTAAAAGACTCCGCACCAACTCTAGCTCAGGCTCCACACCATCCAATGTGAATGAAGCGCCGTCTGGGAGATTCTGGCCAATGGCAGCAAAGGGTACCGACGGGCACCTGTCATGCCTTCTGCGAGCCTTCATCAGCGCGGTGAGCGATGGCGTGTATGAAGAGATATATTGCTGCGGAAGGGACTCTCCATTTACCCTGTACTCGCCAGCAGCGTGCAACAGCAAGAAATTGAAGAAAGATGTTGGGCACCACCATATTCGGGAACCTCGTGGTGCAAATCCGCCCAGGTTCTCAACTACCGGGCGGACCACATTGCCCCACAACTCCCTCAAAGCTTTTGTGAGCGCTGGTTGGTTCCCTTTAGGACCGGCCTCTTGATCAATTGCCTCCTGGAGTGTGACTACCAATGTCTGGAGTTTCACATGATTGGTAGGGAGTCGAATGCTAGTCGGAGGTTGCTTGTGCATAATAATAATGGCATCGCAAGACGACTCGCTTGCGATGAGCACGATGATAGGCCCATCACGAGCTGCATCTTGAAGGCCGGAGAATAAGGGGGGGAGGAGGAAGCGAGAGTAGCCCTCGATCTTCCGAATCTCTTCTACAGCTCCATTCCAGTCCTTCACTAAGCGTCTGTACTGGGTTTCTTCTGCTTCTACATCGACTCTTGAGGTTGCTTCTGGATAGTTTGCAGGAGGTTTATCGAGGAGGGAGCTGAGGTCTCTGAACTTCTTCATCAGGGCCGCCGCGTGATCGCCGTGTATCTGGAGGTCGTCAAGGGGCGTGCGGAGTCGCGTCATCTGGGTCCAGATGATAGTCCTGCCTTGTTCCAACAACTCAACAGCATGACATACGTCACCACTACGAAGAGCACACGATGCAGCATCCACGGCAAGAGTGTTTGGGAAGTCCTTCATAATATTGTGACGAGATGATACTGAAGCTGTTGTGGACATGTAAGCGTCCAGAAGTTGCATGGAAGATGCATAAGCCTCCAGCTCAGTACCATGTGAATTTTGACGAGCATGGCGAACCCATCTCAGACTTGCTCGCAGGCGGAGTAGCAAACCTGCAGAGACAACATTTGCTGCTGCCTTGAGATGATGCAGGGCAGCATTCAGACTTTCGGCATCTTCACCCGCGCCGGTGCCGTCAAGCCCTGAATGATGGAATGATAGATAGACCTTAGCTAGCGACTCGTGGACCTTCAATTGACGAGGATCATGTTGCGTCAACAGAGTCAATGCACAACGTAGGTTGTCTTGTGACTGGTCGAGGTCTTCTCTATTGTGTTGGTGCTTAAAGCGGGAGGAGAGTTGATTCGCGAGGTTATTTAATGACGCCGACCGATCTGTGTGACTGACAGGGCGCAAATCCAGCACGTCCCTGTTAAGTGCGATAACCTCATCCAAATCTCCGTCGTTGCCTTGGTGGTGAAAGCAGAAGAAGAGTTGATTCGCAAGGTTATTTAATGATATGGACCGACCTATGTGACCGACTGGGCGCAAAGCCATTGCTTCCCTCTGAAGTGCGATAGCCTGATCCAAGTCTGCATCGTTGCCTCGGTGCTCAAAGTGGATGGAGAGTGGAGTCGCGAGGTTATTTAATGACTTAAACTGATCTGTGTGACCGACTGGGCACAAAGCCAGCGCTTCCCTGTGAAGTGCGATAGCCTGATCTAAGTCTTCGTCGTTGCCTCGGTGCTCAAAGTGATAAGAGAGTTGAATGGCGAGGTTATTTAATGACTGGGACCGATTTGTGTGACCGACCGGGCGCAAAGCCAGGGCTTCCCTGTGAAGCGCGATAGCCTGATCCAAGTCTCGGTCGTTGCCTCGGTGCTCAAAGTGGGAGGAGAGTTGAGCTGCGAGGCTATTTAATGAGTGGGATCGATCTGTGTGACCGACCGGTGTGGGTATCACAACCTGGCAGGCACATATAAGAAAAGTGCTCAGCCAGTATAAGTGAGTCTCAGCTCTGCCTAGCTGCTATACTCGCAGAATGCAAGAACGTTCGACCCTAAAGGGGAAGCAAGGAGAAAGCAAGGATCCACGGAATGATGCTGAACAACCCTGGTGAATGGCGGTGAAAAGCGCGAGAAATGCGCTGAAGGCGCGCGCGGGGAAAGTGAAGTGCGAAGGTGCACGGAGCACGGGAAGGTAGTGCAAGCAGTGCACAAGTGTAGAAGACGGATACTGGGACTGATAAGAAGGAAAGTGCGGATCTAGACGGATACTGATAGTGCCCACTAGCTATAGACTGATGCTAGGGCCTCAAGATGATGAAGGACACATGCATTGCATGGAACTAACTGATGATAGATACTGAGTGGTAGGAAGGTAAGGTGGAATCCTTGGTTGTAAAACGAACATGAGTGTATGTAAGTTCTACCTAAGCGCTCTCCCAGGGCTCGGAGCCGAATAGGGAGCGCTCTAAGTATGTAAATGAGGTAAGGTGATGTAAAGTAAGGGTGCATAATGAAATGGGAAGTGTAATATGCTAAATATGGTCAGATACCGAAAAGGGACATACCGAGGGACTGGTTGGACAATGGATGGATGCTCCTGGATGCTGTGCGACATAGTGCGCTTAAGCGCAAGAAAGCGTGCAAGGCGCGCACGCGGGAATACTGCGTGTTGTGCGGGAAAGTGTCGCGCCTATGGCGCGTTCCGCGGGAAGTGGTGCGCTCCATGGTGGAAGTCATGGTGGATGATGGTGCGAGTTGTGCCATGAAGGCCAGTTGTCAGAATTCGTAAAATGAGCCCATATGAGCCTGCAGAAACGCAAGTCTCTACACCGGGCACAGAGCTAGCGCTTCCATGTGAAGTGCGATAGCCTGATCCAAGTCTTTGTTGTTGCCTCGGTGCTGAAAGCGGAGGGAGAGTCCATCCGCCAGGCTACGTAATGACGACGACCGATCTGTATGACCGACCGGGCACAAAGCCAGCACTTCCCTGTGAAGTGCGATAGCCTCATCGAAGTCTTCATTGTTGCCTCGGTGCTCAAATTGGGAACAGAGTTGATCCGCCAGGTTACTTAATGACAATGACCAATCTGTGTGACCGACCGGGCGCAAAGCCAGCGCTTCCCTGTGAAGTGCGATAGCCTGATCCAAGTCTTTGTCATTGCCTCGGTGCTTAAAGCGGGATGATATTTGAGTCGCAAGGTTATTTAATGATATGGACCGATTTGTGTGATCGACCGGGCGCAGAGCCAGGGCTTCCATGTGAAGTGCGATAGCCTGATCTAAGTCTTCGTCGTTGCCTCGGTGCTGAAAGCGGAAGGAGAGTCCATTCGCGAGGTTGTTTAATGACCAGGACCAATCTGTGTGACCGACCGGGCACAAAGCCAGTCCGTCCCTCTGAAGTGCGATGGCTTGATCCAAGTCTTCCTCATTGCCTCGACGTTCGAAGCGAGTTTCCAGCATTACAGCCAGATTACCTAGCAATTGCCCTCGGCAAGCATGCCCAGAATTGTAGTATCCCAGTGCATCATAATGAAAGGATATCACTTCATCTAAGACACGGGGTTCATCTCTCTGCAAACACCTCTCTGCTAGATCGCAAAGTTCATTGGGCGATAACGGAAGCATGGATGCAGCGGGCCACTCCTGCCCAAGATCATTTGCATCAATGCTTCCAGCAGAATGCAGAGCGGATGTTTCGATTGCAAGCAAAGCTGCTCTGTGAATGTGGCTGTCGGTGTGGCAAACATCGAGGACTTCGCTCAGTAACTCTTGAGCTGTGTAAGCTTCCGCTTGAAATCCTCGTTTCATGAAGCGAGAAAGCAGAGCAATGGCAAGATGGAGTTGGGTGATGCTTCGGTCCGGATGATCAGCGGGACGCAAATCAAGGGCGTCTTGGAACAAATTGATAGGGATGTCGAGGTCGAGGTGTCTTCCGTCAGCTTGGCAACTAACAAACTTTGCGGTAGCTAGATTGAACAGTGCGGCAGTGTGGCAGGGATGATCTGTGGGGCAGATATCCAAGGCGGATCCAAAGTGCTTTATGGATTGGTCGAGATCTCTACTGTTCTGCGTCCTGTGGTACCATGTGAGAAGGCGATGTCCGGCATCTGTCCTTAGTGCTAACACATCCATATCGAGGGATCCAAGCTACGTGTTACAAGCTCTCAGTATCAGGATGTCAGACTGCATTGATCACTCACAGTAGTCAGGGGGCAGAGAACTCCGGCGTCATTTTCATCAGAAAGTCGCTGTTCCAGTGTCATAAATAGTGAAGTGCACGGGGATACAACTTCCCCTTGCTTGGGCTGAAAGATTATGGCTGTGATACTCGTTAACATCTGTCAAATGTTATTTGCAAAAGACGGTACTGACCACGTAAGTTTTCGCTGCAATCCAGTAATTCTCCGACGGAGATCTCGAATGTGCGGAGGACTTCTCCGTGACCAAGCATCGGACCCAATTCAAATGAGGCATGCACGCTGACTCGAACTTTAGAAGATGGCTCGCACAGCCTAGAGTCCTTCTCGATATGTACAAAAAAAGATGAGAACAAGGACAACATACACAAGTATGGACTCGGTCCATTTGATGACAGCCTCATCTACATGTACGGGTTTGTTGCTCATCTGGCATTCGGCACCATCGGTCTTTACCACCACATGGAAGCCAGCGGGGATGCGTCGGAGACCAAGAGTGAGATCAGTTGCACGAATAGCTTGAGGGAAATTGTCAATGTGAGCTGAGCAGAGATAAATATCACATACCAGTAATGACGACTTGTTGCACTCTACTGTGTATCTCTCCCGTGTCCTGGGTGTGTCCTGGGTAGCTTGGCTCCTCAGGCAAAACTTTGATAGTATCACTAAGTGGGTCTGGCACGGAGTCTGTTGCGAAACGAAATAGCTGAGTAATGACGAAATAAAGTGTCACCAGAATCACTTTGGAGAATCATTGGTACGTGCTAAATGAAGATCAGTATGACACGTACTATTGACAACGACTTGTAGCATTTCACTGATCACGAAGTCTGTCTGCCCTGGGTCCTGGGGGCGTTCTGGGTGGTTTGGCTCCTCTGCAAAAGGTGGAGGGTATTCACTGAAATGACCAGGGACAAAGCTTGACATATGACTGAAGGACTTGCACTTGAGAGTAAGATGTATACTGCAGCTCGTGAAAGATGCCCTGTAAAGTCCTGATTAGTATTATAAGTGAGGGAATCACATCATTAGTGGTGCCGAAGTCCGGTTCGGTTCAGTTCTTAGGCCTCTAAATGTGAACGCCGAACAGGACCATCGGTCGCGTTCAGGCAAGGAGGGCGAATGCTGGACCGGACCCTTATGAACGCGTTCACAAGCGTTCGGTTCAAGTTCAGAACGTGTTCGAACGCTCGAACGCTACATATAATTTGACAAAAATTGCAAGAAATACATGAACCGTAAATGAGTAGCTAAATTTCGTCCATGGCATAGTGTTCGTGAGCAGCAGCAAACTCAGCTTGAACCGTTGCAGAAATGTGGCCTTGACAGTACCCACTCTTCAATAGCTGAAGGGCCTCGAATGTTGTTGGCAACAAACGATTACGGTGCGCAGTCCCAGTGATGCCGCCACTCGAAAAGGCTCGTTCAGATGCAACGGCAGAGCCTTGAATAGCGAGGTAATCCTTTGCAATGCGTGAGATGGTGGGATATTGAATGGAATGGTGCTAAAGGCATATTGAGTCAACTTGCAAGGAAATGCGATGCGAAAAAAACTCACGCCCCACCACGCCACTATATTCTCAACATCCTCTAATGGGGCAGCAAGGTAGTCGTCAAGCTCCTGGCAAGGTCTTCGATTTGCGGTGTCATTTGCGACACGAGTTTTGACAGCATCGCGCATCCAGCTATGGCCGTATGACCCATGGCGAGCAAGCGAGGCAGGAGCTGCAATAGATGGCTCTGCAGCAGCGGGCGAGGAGTTGTGATGATAATATTTGTCAAAAACCTTCCGCAAGCTTCTCATGCCCTCGTCGAAGTCGTGAGGCTCCCATTTACCCTCCATACAGCTGAATAGTAGACATCAATATATATAAATCACGATATTAAATAGTTCACTTACCGCACACGGTGTTCCCCAGCAATCCATTTCTTGCCGGAAGGGTCGATAGCAAGTGCGACAGTCTGAATTGCTGTGTCGTTGTTGGTAGCATTGTCAGCTGTAAACCATCCAACCTTAGTGCGGATGCCATAGTTATTGATAGTTTCAATCAGGATTCTTCCAATGTTGCTCCCACTGTGATTGCCGTTGATGATGGTGAATGCAAGCTGCTCTGTCTTCAACTCCCACTCATGAGGTTTCCCAGCTGGGGAGTCAATATAATGCACGGTGACAGAGAGAAAAGGTACCCCAGGTTCGGAGGTCCATGAGTCGAACGTGATCGAAATCTTGCTATCAACTTGCTTAAGTTTCTCCTTGACACGTTGAACGGCAAGCTGCGCCCGTTCAAGAATTTCATCTCGAGTCTTGGTGCGGTGAGGAATATCCCTGTCTGAAAAGGGAAGGCCGGAGGTATTGAAGGAGCCCGGTGAAAGGGGTCCCCTTGTCAACGAGTTGGAATGCCTATCTATGGCATGAACATCCTAAGTCACGATTACAAAAAAAAAACTCACCTTGTCCTCAGACACGATAAGTTCAACAATGTAATCCATTAGACCAGTCTTGGTGAATTCAGGAATTTTAGGCGTGAGGGAGGCATCTAACGTTTTCTGCAAGTCGTCGGTTGCTTTGCAGTTAGGAGGTATCGCCCGATCATGCATCTTGATACCTCGTTCTTTGCAGCGGTCGCGGTATATTGGAAAGTGACACTTCGCATTTCGAGCGATATGGGTGCGGCGAGTCGAAAACACTGCCTTTGAAAAAAGCACTGATTGGTGGGTACATCATTGGCTCTTGAATTGACAAGTTAGTTATGTGTGTGACGTTCAAAGTAAAAGTAAAAAACATACCTGCATATCTCGCACCACCAGCCATCTTCGGGTTCTTGGGTGTGCGGATTGATGCGTCCCTTCTCCTGAGTAAATACTACCTTCAAATCCCCACTGCGCTCCTCTTTCTTCTTATGCTTGCGATCCTCACGGTCCTTGTCTCCAAATACCTTGGTCCACTCGTAAGCTTCCTCTTTGTCATTGTCTTCGGCCTCTTCTTCATCATCTGAACAATCCTCTAGCGCAGGGGGTTCGTCGTCATCATCATCATGGTGACGGACCAGACGGGACCCATGTTGCACTCACTTGGGTGCAGGCTGTCCTTGGGGAGGCACTGGAGCCACTCGTTTGGCTGGAGCCGTGTTGCCAGCATCGCGGATTTTTTCTGTCAGTTTAACAGCTCGGCCTGAGCGAGACCACAAGGCAGTTAGCTTGCCATTGGATGCAGGAGGCGGAGGTGGAGGAAGCATGGGCGTGTCATCGTCAGGATCATTGTACCAATCGATGGCACTAGCATCCTTGAGTTGGCCGTCAGATCCAAGTGCGCACGACATTTGTGCAGCAAGGAGGGTGCAGATTGAACCTGTAGTAAGTAGCTCATTTATTCCAAATTTTATGATAAGATATCAAAAAAATGATGCACCTTGAACATCCTGTTGCCATGCAATTACTTGGTGTTGAAGCTTGAAGTACCAGAACGAGAAACCTGAGAATATGTTCTGAAAATAAAAGTCCATTGAAGTCTGAATAAAGATTAACATTTGTTTAACATTAGGCTTACCAGAACATCGAGTAGATTACCAGGGAAGTCAGATCTCGCCAATGGAAATGTGTTGGGTGTTTTGGCTGCGAAGTCCGATCCGCTGTTGATTGTCCCGAGATCGATCGACATGCCGGTTGCCAGAAGATCAGAGCAGATATATTGGTGGATCATGCAAAGAATATGAGAACACGTTCGGACGGGTTCGAACGGGTTCACAGTATTCAGGCAGCAGCCGAACGCTGAACTTAATAATCGGTTCGGTCCTTATACTATTTCGAACCTAGGACCGAACCCACGGTCCGGTCCGGGAGGGTTCAGGTCCGAACCGAAGTTCAGAACCGGACTGCGGCATCACTACACATCATGCATGTGGCATCCACACTGCAGCGCTGATGTCAACAGGACAGAAGCGACTCGCAGGATATCGAGTCATCCACAGCCTCATTTACAATGAGGCATAGATTTTTACGGTAGGAGCATGCTGCAGTGTGGTGCGATGTTGATCGAAGCAGCTGAAATGAAGCCTCAAGGCATTCCATGGACCATACTTTCGCAAGAATCCGCACATGACGAAGCACTGCCTGAACCTTCCTTTGACGCTGCTATCAGACAACGTGTTGCGCAAGAAGGCATGGAACTGATAAAAAGCACTGTACAAGTTGAACTTGTTTTACGGATCATGTCAAGCTGCAGAGTGTTCTGTGAGGTTACTTCTTGCGCACGGCCGGATCAACCCAGAGTACGTAATAATATATTCCTGTGCTGCCACGGCCACAGCTGGAACGTCGCAGGCAACGTTTTTCACCAGCAGGCATTCGCTCTTCGTTATAAATTTGAGCTTCTCATGGAGCTCTCCGGCCAACTCACTGGCACTCACCCTGAACCCGCCCTTCGTTCACTGCAATTAGTTGACTTAGTATGACCAGTTCGATCAAAGACCACAATAAAGGCCTACCTTCGTCTCTGCCGCAGCCACCAATCAAAGCCCTTATTGTCCAGCCTCTCCTCTTCACGTTGTTCGTAACGTTCACCGACATCTCGTAACATTTACCAACTTCCTCTCCAGCATCCTATTCGAAACGAAAGACGCATTGACAAACTTACGACACTATTCACGATCATGCCAGCTTCTGGCAATGGTGGACAATTCACCTTGCATTCTTGAATAACCCGCAAAGGCGACATCAAATTTCAAGTTCGATTAGCTATCAGTAGCAAGTAGCACAGTGACAAACGAGAAGTAATCATGGCACATTCCAGGGAGTCGAATGTGTCCTCAACGTCATTGCAGACCCCCCTGTCAACAATGACCCATAGGAACAACCAGAACTTCGAGCAAACGGCAACCCACTTTTACTTCATCTTGCCAGCCCGGCGGAATAGGCAAAGCGTCATCGCTGAACATCCGCGGTCTGTCATGATACCAGCGTGCGACCTATGCAGCACGTCGGATCTGAGTTCCTTCACTGCTGCAATTCAGAAGTGAGAATGAGTCAATCAGCGCGTACTTACATATCATATGCGCGAGGCTGTAGTCGCTGAATCACAAACATCTCGAATGAAAGACTGCGACTGTCATGAAAACTTCATGTTTGAAAGTGACCAGACCATCTCGGTGCTGACGGTTGGTATTCTAGGATGTTATTGTGAGACTAGAGAAACAGACATAATTGCTTATTCAAACTATAGAAGCCTTGCTGCCTTGCAATGCGTCCTGCAGTACCCATCAACGTCGATACTTATACAGCGAGAAAGCTTCGGATCAACGCGGAATCCAAACGTTACATTCATGGTCCATTATGCAACAGGCTTCATTCACCACAGTTACTTATGGAATACATATTAACGAAAGCAAAACATAACGCGAGATGATCCGTGTTGAGAGCGGGCACATTTAGTATCTCCTATCGTAGTCGTGGCCACGAGGATCGTAGTCGCGACCGCCGCGGCTACCACCGTATCCTCGGTCATAGTCACGGTAGCCACCGCGGTCGTAGTCCCTGCCGCCGCCGCCACCACCGCCACCACCACCACCACCTCCTCCTCGGTATTCATCAGGACGACCTCCACGACGACGGTCATCGTAGTCGCGGGAATAACGGCTGTCGTAAGGACGCGGGTCGTACGGGCGCTCATCTATTCGAGAGCTGAGTGAGGACCAAAGAATACTCTGACAACACTTACTATCATGGCGCTTGGGAGGGCCATAGTACCTTCCAGGGGTGGGAGTACGCGCACGTCCACGGCGGGCCTAAACGCCAAATTAACAAACGTTGGCAAAATTCAAAAACATGGGAGTATACTCTTTCTACGGTGCAAATCTTCCCCATGATTTCAGTCGCATTGAGCGCGGTGATAGCAGCGTCTGCCTCCTCAGAAGTCTCCATGGTAACAAACCCGAACCCACGGGACTCGCGGGTATGCGGGTCATACATGACCGAAGCCTTTTTGACCTATTTCTATTGGATCAGCAGCAGAAAATAAAATCACAGGAAGACACGTACACGGCCAATTTTAGCAAACGCTGCTTCAAGGTCACGCGTATCAACACGGTGACTCAAGTTTGAGACGTGAAGATTGTTTCCAGGGTTGTGACCGCCGCTGTCACCCCCCCGGCTACGAATAGCGTCAGTATCAGATGTGACAAAACTCTAACGCCACTCACCCTCTATCGTCCCGTACGGGGCTCCTGCTGCGGCTAGAGCGCCTGGGAGGTTCGCCCCCACGCTCTCTACCAGGTGAGCGAGCATTGCCATTCCAGCTCTGCTCCTCCCTACCAGCAGGTCCGCCATTCATATTGGCTTCGTGCGTAGGAATGCTGATACCAGAAGGTGCAATATCTTGTGATTGCCAGGCTGAATGGGCGGAAAGGGTGAAAACAAGATCAATGTCGATTCATGGCGGTGGGTAGAACGGGGGAGGAGGAATGGGCGATTATACTGTGTCGCGCGCACGCGTCATAGTGCACGCGAATGAACTACTGAGGGCGCACTACGTATGAGAAGTCGAGAGAGCTCGGTTTACTCGAGTTGCGCATCAGTTTTTTTAGATAGGTCGTTATCGGCCTTGAGCCGATATTGGGTGGAGAATGTGATGAGAAAAATAGTGCTGGTATGTACGAGGCGGTTGTGCCGGAACAGAAGAAAATATTGAATGCAGAACTGGCTGTCGTCGTCGGGGCTGATGCTGAAAACGTACCGTCATCCATTGTTGCTGTCCTTGTCGGTATTGTCGGAGTGATGGTTGAGAGAAGAAACCGGGAAAAAGTTGAAACTTCGTACGTGACAAAGGATTGACAGGACAAACATGGACACACAACGTTGCGCCACCAGGCTTCTAATCTATGCATTACAAGGTACGGTGAAGTATTTCTTCTAGATAAGTCGACCGCTCGACCAGCCTTGATATGTAGGTGTTTGCTTGATCCAACCAATCAGTTCATCCCGCCGTATCTTCATGCCTTGATCTGCCGACTGGACCTTTGTCTTCTTCCCATCCACGAATTCCCACTTTTGCTCTTTAACAGTCACCAAACCTTCCTTGAGCTCATCACCGCCCAAAATCACAGCAAAAGGAACTTCATCCTTTTCACCGGCCATGAACTGCGCAGTGAGCTTCGGTTTCTTCTTCGCGAGGAAGTCGGTCTGAAAAAAACGAGTCAACACATGAATTGGAGAACGACAACCCGACTAACCTTTATGCCTGCTTCCCTGAGTTCCTGCGCAAGTGCAATCCGCTCTTCCAACAAGCCATCACCAGCAGCCAACACATACACCATCGTCTCCTTACTCCGCATCCCCTTCTCTACCCACTTCGGCCACACAATCGCGAAGATCCGGTCAAGACCGATGCTGACCCCAATACACGGGAGCCCTGGTGCCTTCTTCCCCTCAGCAGCGGCAGCGGCAGTGAACATACCAACCAGGTTATCGTACCGGCCACCAGCAGCGATGGACCCGACGCCAACCTGCGATTCGTCCAGTTCATCCTCTTCGCCATCATCAGCTTTGGCTTTTTTCGAAGGCTTCGGTTTTGAGGGGGCTTGGGACTCTGTTGCGTTTGCGGTAAGAGCTGGTGGTGCTGATGCTTCGACGATGGCTTCATAGATGATGCCTGTGTAATAGTCTAGACCACGGGCGAGAGACATGTCGAATGAGATCTGTGCATACATGAATATCATGTTCTGATTCATGGAAAGCGAGCTTACTTTGTCGAGTACTTTATAAGCTCGTAGGAGAGTAAAGAGAATATCCATATCTGAAATGCCTTGCTTTGCGCTCGGGTTTGCCATGAGAGTGGCATCTGCTTTCAAAAGATCGAGCAGCGACGGGCCACCTGTATGACGAAAGAGATGAGATAAATAACTCTGCATAGAATCAAGGCTGACTACCTTTGTGCTTGACGTACTCTCCGATCTTATCGGCAACATCTGAAGAAAGTCCCTTCTCTTCTGTCATTTCTTTCTTCACTTCTAGCCAGGGGAGCTGCACGCAATTAGGACCAGCATCGGGAATGCATCTCTATCGACCAACCTTGTCCAACTTGTCCACAGCCGATGATATCGATCGAATCTTGTCCTGTGGCACACCGCAAACCTCGAAGATCCCATCAAGGATTTTGCGGTGATTTAGCTAGGTTGGAAGGCATCAGGATAAATACAAGCCTTGTTTGAACAACCTTACCTTGACTGTAAATTCTCCAACATCCAATCTCGTCAAGATAGTGCATAGTAGACTGATAATCTCAGCATCTGGGATCATTGGGTCCCATGCACCTGTAATATCCAAATCCTGCAACAAGTTATGTAAAGTACCCCAGGTAAAAGTGAGAAAACGTACTGCTTGTGAGAACTCGCGCATTCGACCTTTCGACATCACAGGGTTGTCTCTCCGATAGACCTTGCCGACTTGCCAAATCTTCGCTTGGACCGTAGCACCAGCCATAGCTAGATACCGTGCCAAAGGAACAGTGTGATCGTACCGAAGCGCAAGCTGCTCGCCTCCCTGGTCCATCAAGTCAAAAATGAGTTTCTGGTCCTCGCCGTACTTTCCGGCAAGCACGTCCTTGCGTTCAAACACAGGTGTGTCGAGGGCGCTCCCGCCGTAGGACGTGAACACGTCCTTAACGATACGCTCAACATGTTCCCGGCAAAACATCTCCGCTGCGCCATAATCACGCGTGCCCTATGCAGCCTACTTGAGTACCTTTCAGAGGTGTATGATCGCGGTGCACACTCAAACATACCTTTGCGGTTTTGAGGAGTAGCCGCTCTTTCTTCTTCCCAGCATCCTTGTTCCCGCCTGCGCTGTTCATCGCAGCCATTGTTTTCTTCAATTCACCGAGTCTCTTCTTGGCAGCGTCTATACTGGACGCATCGGCATTTTGTAGTCGGAGATCGTTCAGTGCACCTGTTGCTTGTGCGATTTCAGTAGTGAGTGAGTCTGAGGCTTCAGTGGTCATTGTACGCGTCCCAATGGATTTTGGTATCAGAGTGCGAAAGTTGGCGGTCAATCGATATGATCTACAGAAAGCACGACTAGAGAACATAGAAAAGATAAAAATAAGATTAGACGTGACTCGAATAAGACCCGGAAACTCCGTTCAGCTATTAAGCTCAGAGTTACTTTCGGGGTACGTCATCACTTGGCTTCAACTTGAACTTGTTCCCTACCCCCTACCAGCATCAGTGCAGCATGAGAGCACGAGGGAAGCTCGCCGTCACTTGACTCAAGTGACGGCGAGCTCCCCTTGCGCTTGCCCACTAACAGTAGACAAACCCACACTCATGGCAAGGATTGCATGCTCCTGCGTAATGCCTGCTAGTAACACCAACTTAATAGTGCAGTAAGTTCAATATGAACTTTTCTGCAATCATTGATCTATCTAACTGGTGATCCAAGCCGCGCCTACTCATTAATCCGTGTTGATCTTTCTGGAGCCACAGTCATTTGCGAGCAGAGATCCCTCAGGTGAGCTGCTGCATACGCAAGTCAGCATCAGAGGAATGAACTCTTACAAGCGCAGTGTCTTTCGACATACCGCATGGATATAAAGAAGATTTGCTAGGGTCCATGCATTCAATATCGTAGTCACGCTCGCCATCATGCTGTTCAGCTGTTACTCGTTGAATTCTCTTGCGTAGTTTGTCTTGTGCATCTTGAGTGTACACAATGCTGTCATTTATTCGTTTAATGGGCATGATGCACTCCGAATGCAACCCCACAGTTCAAGTGTACGCCAATTTGAGCGTTGCCGTACGCAAGATATCCCACAACTAGACGTCCCGGAGGGTTGGCTCAATGGCCAGGCTGCCCTGTCCTAACGTCTTCAGGGCGACCTCATGCATCCCTGCCGATGATGACAATTGCGGTAACTGGAGTCTCAGCGCCCGCTCTCGCCACCTTTATATCTATTACGTTGTTGTCACTGTCGGAGTCATGGCAGAATGCTGGTGTCTATGTTACCCTATAAAATCACAGCTCTTCTATCCTGGAACCGAGCTGTTGACATCGCCAGTCCGCTATCGTTAGATTTGTCCTGCTGGGATACTGTTCAGTGCTAGCGCTCATCCACCTATGGCTCCATCCCCCGAATTTATGCAAGACCTCTGGGTGCGGAAGTAAGTCTACCTATCGTGCAACGTCCTTATCTTCTTACCCTATGGCCTAGAATATTCTCTACAATTGGCCATACGCTGCTTGTCTACGACTATTGTCTAACTCTCGAAGATGAAGTGAGTTCGTTGGCTGGTATGCACGATGTTGAAAACGCACCCTGGGTTGCAGGTTTATTATATCTGGAACAGCCCCTGGACCGTCGTAAAAGTCATGTTCCTTATCAACCGGTATGGAAACCTTATTGGGCAGACATTCATCCAGTTAGAAGAGACCGGTCTCATTTCGCATGGTTCTCAAGTAGGTATGTTGCAGTTTCACGAGTAGACATCCGTTGAGTGACACGTTCGAACATGCTAGTTCTGCCAGCGCTTCGCATTTGCAACCGCTTGTTTCATGGCTCTGTCTGCAGAGTCGATTCATAGTGCGTCGTTTCGTTGAAAACAGCTCCATTGTTGAAGGTTTTTACTCAGTAATTGTGCTCATGCGTACGTGGGCCATCTGGGGAACCCAGAAGCGCGTGGCAAACATCCTCATCTGGAGTTACGTCTCCTACATCCTTGTGATGACGGGCACAGCAACGCATGGTGCAATCACCAGTCACCGTAGGCCGTCTCGCCGCCTTTTCATTTGTTTTCGCACAATGATTGCTCTCTGGTAGTCCAATTTGCACAGCTCGACGTGACCCACATCTGCGTCACGGACGCACCAAGTATGTGATTGTTATTTCGTCCCTCCTGCTTCCTAATAGTCCATTACTTCAAAGATTATATAGTCAGTTGACAGCCATATATTTGATGGACATCTCATTGACGGTATTACAATGCTAGTGGTTGATCTGTTGTGGAAAGTGAGAACATTCTGTTTCCGTGTTCATCGTGCATGCTGAAGACCATGACCATCAAGTTTCGTTCTCGATGCAGTACTCTTTATCTCGACAATGCGATGTCTCCGGATATACTCTAGGGAATTTCGGTCTCTCTACCCTTCTGATCTCCTCCATATACTCGTTCGAGATGGTGAGCATTCTCTCTTGAGATTTTCATCTACAACTAACTACAATCACACAGCAATCATATTTTTCATCGTGAGTCAGGAAAACCTGCACAGCTTATCACATTACTGAAGAAAAAGAAAAGGTGAGTATGTCAAGTAATGCAATAACCACTGTTTCCTGGTAAGACCCATACAACTCAACTCATTCCATTTACTCATGCTGTTTAGGACTGTATACGCGGACGTCAGTCTTTCTTATCCATAACGGACTATTTATTGCTCTCCTTTACTAACACGACAATAACAATTCAGGATCCAAAATGTTTCATTGCTAAAGGGTGCGCGGTTCTCGTGTTTCTCGTATAACCTCGGCATTCGATGATTTTGGGCATGCAGGTTTGCGACTCCATTAATTTCAGTAGCTGGTCAACGCCTAGTCTTGAACTTGAGAGGTTCAGAAGGGCGTACCTATACGACCCGGGATCTCAGTCGTGAGGTAGACCGGCAACTTGAAGCATTCGTTGCTACAGACTCTCCATGCCGAGACGACATGGGACACCCCGAAAGTGGGCAAAAATAAGAATAAGTAAGCATCAGGAAATATGGGCCAATCTGGATCACCGTTGGTAATCAGACATGGTGTAGTGCATAAAAAGGCTCCCCTACATATATCCATATCATAGCGTGTGGTTTGTATGTCTTATTTATTGGATTGTTACACATCTTCGTGCTCGCTTTCGTTCCTGCATTTTTTTTGTATTCCCGCTGTGCTGTAGCCGCTGGAAATACGTATGTAGGGATGATGGTCAGGAGCGGATTCAAGTAGAGTTTTATATCACAGTAAATATTCCTCCGGTTAATAGTGTCTGAACTATTGTGTCACGCCGAGAGTCATATTCGAGCAACAGTATTTGGTAGTCAAAGCAATGAATCTAGATCGATACTACAATCCGCGCCAGAGTATAGACGAGAAACTCGTCCATGTCCCAATTTTTGACCACTCTCGTCAAAGCCGTTTCACATACCCATCCTGCTGGATATCACGCGTCTCCCTCCACACGCCCTCCCCATCCTTCTTGCGCACAGTAAAACAAGCGATACCGAGAAACTCCGTGATATCCTTAATCACTAGCGCGCAGAAGCGTGCATAAGTGAGGAGGGAAACTGCGAGCGTCAGGTAGATAAACACCGCCGTTCGCTTTGGTGTTGACTGTATTAGTGAGGGCCTATTCTCAAATGAGCTTCCTCAACATCTGTGCATTGACACTCGATGGCTCACCTGTCAAATAGGAACGGGAGCTGGGCATCGAGCACCCCGACAACACTCCATACCCACATGCTGTGCCACAGGGGAAACGGTGCACGTGTAATATGGCTCAAGATCATCCTCCCTACTTGGTGAGCGAACTGTAAGCCCCATGCGCAAAGAAACGGTAGGAAGAGTGGTGAGTGAATGATGGCGGAGTCATGGTAAGAGGGGCTCAGCAACCAAAAGATTTGCAGGATCGCCGAAACAACGAAGGGTAAGAGGTAGACGAGAGGTTTGAGACTCGACTTCCCGTCAGATTTGGTGGCTTTGATGACGTTGCGGTAGCTAGTGAGGCGTTAATATATATACGTGATGATTACTGGCGCATTCACCTCGAGAAGATATTGAAAGCCAGAGCAAAAGCACCGAAAACCATGAAAGACTCATTAAGACCAATGTTAGGAACGTGCTGAACAACTTGGGGTATTCTATCCAGACGGGTGAAAGCCAAGAGTTTCTTGTCCCAGAATGTGGGGCCTATGATGCGAGTGAGATGGAAGGTTTTGTTAAAGAATTTTCTCTTACCGAATATTCCCGTTATAACATAGATGATCACGATCATTAAGATACCCTCTACTGGACCTGAAAAAGGACCGAGGTACAATATTCCTGGGTTTCAAGTCAATAGATGAACACGGCTTGTACATGGCACTAGACGCACCAGTATGATATTCTTCCCATGTGGTCAAGTAGAAGTTGGCAAGGGTAGCTATTTGCGACGCAACAGTCCACCACGAGCGGCCAAGATTGAGCGCACGCGACGCAAGAACGACCTCGAGCTGAAAAGCACAGAAGATGAGGCTAGCAATGCAACTTGAAGGACAGGCAACGTACTGTAGTGTTGAGCGCATCACAACCTGTGAGAACAAGGTTAAATATCGAAGCGCGTCAGGAAACGCGCATGCAGACCATGATCAAACATTTCTCCCAAAGGACCAGCCATTCCCGTTCTCCGCGCCTGCTTCCTGCACTTGGATAAGCGTTGTTGTAGACCGGTGCAAAGGAATCCGCTCACCCATCTACTGCATCAAAACTTTGGTACATGAACAAGCCGATCGCCCATCTAAGTTTCCGAGGGTTAGCATGACACGAGCTTGATGCAAAGAACAGAACACGCACGTAAAGTAGATCCACTGAGGGGGCCCAGTTGCTCCATCCTTCTCGGTCAAGTAAAGCGGGTCATAATATAGTAGCGTGACGACATTAAAAACGACGATGCATAGGCCAAGCAAGGTTATCTGAACGAGATTGATTTGACTGGGGCGAAGAGCTAAGTGTTGATAACATACGGTATTTGGAGCGATGGTGAGTGGAAAGAGCTTGATGAACCAGTTCCAATATGGGGTGAGGAGATAATGTGAAACCAAAGATCTTGTTTTCAAAGCTCAGTATCACATTAAAGAACACTTGGAACAGGACGCACTCATCTACACCTTTATAGGAATATTTTTTGAGATTTTTAAGTGCTGGTTGTGAGAGGTAACCCATAGAAAAGTCGAGATGGTCTAACGTCGGAAACTAGAGAGCAGACATGAACGAAGCAGCTACTCTCAGTGGTTACGTGTTCGATGATGCGCCAAAATTTTCATTCGTTATTCGTCATTTGCCAAGTTGACCTGCACAGCCACTGAATCTCTCAGGACGACGACGACATCGATGTCCAGTGATGTTCTGGCATTCTAGGAGCAATTTTACCATAGTTCCCTCGAGAATCACATGCACACCAGATTAGCATATGATGGCTGCGACTCCGACAAAATAATTCAACGTATAGAAATGATTAACATGTTCAAACCCAATGTGCAAATCCACACTGTTGGATAAGCTCAAGACTCTGAAGGGATGCCTCGAACGCAAGTGAGCTGCAGGACGTTCATCGGCGAAACAAAGGGTAGGTTCTGCCATACTCTTCTCCGAGTCGACCCGATGTGAGAGGAGCACGTGGTCAGTGCTCTGATACACAGCACCGGGAGCCTGGAGGTAAGACCAAGAATTTGCGATGCTTGAGATCATGTAATTCTTATCCGGTGCTTTGCTTGAGTCGATCGGCTGAGCATGTCCAAGGTAAAAAGTGGATCGCTGATCGGCTCGTCGGAAACATAAAAAGTATATTTCAACTCCGCGATTGCACTTGGACCTCGTCAACGATGCTGCACGAACTACCTACTGAGATCGCTCTCTACATAGCATCCTATCTCACATTACAATCTCTCCGCAACGTCTCGCTCGTGTCCAGAAAATGGCACAGTATAATCACAGACAACGCCCAGGCAGTTTACCGCAACGCAGCCATCTTACATCGCTTCATCCTCTATGCCGATCTTCAGGCTGATTCTTCTGGTCAAACATCAGATACAAAGCAAATAGACTGGTCGCAATTCTGTCTGTGCTTCTCAAAGTGCAGCTGATACCTTTTGACCATCTCTACTAGGTCAGAGACGATCGCAGATCGAGAGGGGTTGGCGAGGCAAGGCTCCGTTCATCGCGAGAGAACTCAATTCCACCGGCAAATTCGTCCATCGAATAAAGGTCGACCAGAAGGAGAAAATCGTGATGACCACCCGCCACACTGGAGGCCTCTCCGTGACCGATTATAACACTGATCGCGTACTTTGGGCAACAGTAAGTCATCTGATACACCCCTCCACCTCATCCTAAACCGTTCCGACCAAACAGGCCCACGTGGTTGATTACGCTCACTGCGAATATGACCATGGCTACATCATCTTCAACAGTCAAGACGATAGCAAGGAAGTATGGCGCTACGCCCGTGACTTCCAAGACTCCCAGATCCCAGAGGACTTCAAACCTGACGATTCCATGGTCGAAGCATCGCGCGAAGCCGCTCAGCGTCATGCTTCCCCAACAAATCGTGGTCATTTTAGACCATGGGCTCTCCTCCACATGCCAGAGTCCACTCGTGCATTCCGCTTCTCGTACCCGACCCTGCTTTCGGCTGGCGCGAATAACGCTTATTTGTGGGACGTGCCGACTTCTCGTCTTGTTGAAACGATCAGCAATATTCAGGCGCCCAATCAAGATGGCATACTAGGGTCCATCTGCTACGTTGAAGTCAACGACCAATACGCTTTCTTCTGCGGGTCCAATCAACTACGCATTTTTGCAAGGGGCGGTGGTGCCTTGGTCTATCATCTGTGCATGAAAGATTTGCAGCGCATCACTTGGGATGTGCTTCCAGATAACAGCGATGAGCCGTGCCCTTCATCGTTCTTCCAGCCCCAACGACTTCACGAGGCATATCACGTCTGTTCCACATCTCGGAGCAACTTTGTTGCGGGTAAGTTCTACTCGTCGATCTCCATTACCTACTCACTATGTGCGCAGCCCATGTATCCTCCTCGGGAAAGGACATCGCGGTCCTCACCGCATCAGGTATTTTCATTTGGATCCCGGGCTTTGAACGACTGTTCCATCGCGAGGCCACGCTTGACGGCATAGCAACCCTCCTCAATTTCAACGCCTCCCGAGACAACGTCCGAGATATCTCCATCTATCTAGCCCTTGGAGAATCGAACGAAAAGGCTGCGATCGGAACTGTAAGTCTCCCCTTCTACACACAGGTTTCTCAGCGCTAAAATCATCACAGCGTAAGGGTCTGTTTATCGTATCCCTAGACCCTGAAATCAGCAAGTTAACTGCGGAGGCTCCTCCTCGCCCTGGCCTATCCGTATGTCGAGTAGCAAAATACGACAACAGCCGATACCTATCCTCCATCACATGTCTACAAATGACAGACACCGAGATCTTTTTCAACTGGTACCCGTCTTCAGAGCAAAGCAGGCCCACTCAGCATACCCAGCGCATGATGGTGATCCCGCCTCCGCCTCAGCACGGGCATCTTCAGGTGCCTATTCACATTGTGCCGTCGCCTCAACCTCAACCCCAGCATGCAAATCAGGTTCAGGCACCTGTTCAACCTGTGCCAGTTTTCGGCATGGAGGGGCAGAATGATTATCCGCCTGGGCTTGATCCTATTGAGTCTAGTGATGACGATGAGATGGGGGAAGATGCAGCCCCTGACCCGCCTTCTCCTACTAACGCCGAGGAAGCTGGTCCGCCCCCACTGGCCGAAACGCACGAAGAGGGGGATGAGGATGAGGGAGACGAAGTTGATGGAGGGAATTTCGTAGAGAACGCAGACGATTTTGAGATGGACTCCGAAGTGGAGGATGACATGGATGATGAATTTCAGGTCGGTGGTGATGGTAAGCACTTGTCGTGTTAATGCGAGTTCTTGATCTAATGCTTTGTTCTTTTCATATAGGTTTTATGCAGGTCCTCGTGAATGATTGGTTCCTTCCTATTAACTCGAGTACGGTGCATTACGTTCATGTTTGATGCATTGCTTTGTCAAAATTTGCTTGTGAACGTGTCTATACAGGATGTAAGGTATATCGTAGTACGTTTAATTTCGTAAATGACATCATCTGTGGTGAGTTTGATGTGCCCTCGCTGGTTACGACGCGCTCAACTTGCAATTAACGAGGAATACACGAATTGAGATGGCAGTGATCAGATTTCCACTGCGCTATCAATGCCATTATCCAGCCATACTCTGACATGTTGCTGTGAAGGGACAGGTAGGTTTGACAGGAAGGATAAAAAAAGAACATGCTGTAAAACACAGCCATGAAGAATGGAGATATAAACGAGGTTACGATATCAAGACAACCAAAAACAAATCCATTGTAGCCGCACCCGCTGGCAGCCTCATAGATGACTCCGCCAACACGGAGCCCAAGACAGTCTATGAGTTTGATGCGTTGACGCTCGAGACTGTCGGAGATTCCTTCAAAGGGCACACCGGCAGTATCTGGGGTCTAGCACTCTCATCTGATTATGTTCTTCTCGCCACTGCTTCCCGCGACAATACCATCAAGCTCTGGTCCTTCGAGTCCCGCCAACTCCTCGCCTCGTTCGACGTCCAAGCTCCCGATTCCCTTGCATTCTCACCCGACTCGTGCCAACTGGCTTACACGACCTGGTGCGAGCCCAAGATTTACATATGCGACATTCCAGTCAACATCCTCGCTAGCATCGGTCTTGTAAAGGAGGTATGTATTCACCCATTCATCGACATCATTCTGGTGCTGAAATCTCTTGCAAACAAGCGAATCTGAATCTTCGCGCCTCGATAAGCTGCTCAACGTACGTGATCCCGTTCTTTTACTCATTACGCCACTCCATTCTCTATCACAGTCTGATGCAACGCGTCATACCGTGCGCCGTAAACCACCAATATCGGTCATATCTCCCGCTCCCCGCCCACTAACAGTCACGATTGACCACCCGCAACCCATGTTCCTCGGGTTTCTACGCAAATTCCTCCCTTCTTCTCGTACGGACACAGTCCGTCCCATTCGCACCAATGAGCCTTGTAATCCGCTAGACGTATGTTTCCTTCATCTGTTTTCTTCACAGTTGACTCGACGGTCCCATTACAGTTCCCTGCTACAGCTCCCTTGCCTCATCCACTTATAAATCCCCACGAGAATGTGAGTGGCGACCGCTATCATCACATATTCCGCTGACCTTTTTTAGTTTCGGCCACTGACTAGTACCCAATCCTCTACCCCTGCTTCCACAACCTTCAAATCCAGCCTACACCGTCTGTCAACCTGGTGGCCCCTCCAGACAGACCATGCGTCGCCAGCTATCGAAGACGTTCCACTTGCGCATGGTAAAGAGGTATGCACAGCTCATTTTTCTCGCTTTGCAGTGTTCATATATCAATATCAATTTACAGCGGAATGCTGCGGCGGATGCTCCACGCAGAGACGATGAATGGATACCTTCTGAAGATTATGTTTCTCCTCCTCCTTCACCTAATCCAGATTCGCGACAGCCGACTACTGCAGGGCAGAGACCAATACCGGAGAGCATGGAAGCCGGTCGTGTTTCTGCTTTTAGATTGTTTTTTCGAACGAGACGGTAATGAGCACATCGCGGACACCTTGCTAATTGGGATCTGCTTGTATGCATAGTGTATTTTTGCATGATTTAAGGCATATCACAGTGTATTTCTGTTTGCTGGTAGTTTAGTTTGCGAACGGTGATCACTCTTTATATTGCGAACGACTCAGATCCTTGTATGCACTTGAACTTCGAAGTGGTTAGGAAGTCGCGGAGTTCGAAACCTCAGGCCTTATCGACGTACGTCAGTCACGATAGTGCAATTCTTACTTTTTGCAAGTACAAAAGGCTGGCTGGCGCTTTAATAGACGAATTTCATCAACGAGCCAGAAAGGAAAGGGACAAGAACAAGCTGTGACACGCAACACATCTGAAAATTCTACACTGACGAACTGATATTATTGGTTTATCTTGCAGGCAGAGTACAACATCTCCGAGTCTCGTCAAATGATTTCGACTTGAATTTTACTCAACGTCCAGTCACGCGAACATATCCATATCCACATCCATGTAACCAACTGACATATTTGCCAATTTGAAATGTCGTTATCTGACCGACATGACTTACGGCTGGACCCAGTCCGGTGCAGCAGCACACACATCGATTCTGACACTGGTCATGATCATGACCTTGGAGGCTCAGTCACCGTTCTATCTCTGCTTAGAGATCACGGGTCCATCTATTTCCTTTCCCATTTTCCCAACGGCAAGAAATTGACTCGTGGACCAAGCGATAAGACCGCTCAACGATGGGACCTGCAGGAGCGTAATGATACCGACGTGGTCTGGGATGTGTGCAAGAACGATATAGAAGCGGTGACGATGGCCGATAGGTTATCACTGCTGATACAGCTTGGAATGGTTTTAAAGCATGCAAGTTGAGATGGGGACGGTGATGACATATGTAGCCGCATTCAAAGGGCACACTCATGTCGTCCATGGTCTGGTGCTCTCTTCTGATTGTATGCTTCGCCAGCGGCTCCGTCTACAATGCAAGCTGTAGACCTTTGAGTCCCGCCAGCTACTCGTTTCATTCGGCATCTAAGGTCGCTCCTGGCTGCCTTTTACTCTCACCCGACTCACACCAACTGGCTTACATGGCCTTTAACGAGACCACCCACCATACAATTCTCTACCACTATTTCCGCGACCTTCTACACCGCCTATCAATTCGGTGGCCCGTTCGAATAAATTATATGTCAACTGACTATCGTCGACGTCCCTCTCGTGGAAGATGGAGAGGTTTGCGGGTTGTTTCTACATTTCAGGTCTCATGCATCCATTTACAACTGCAGCGCCAGGTGCTACCATCAAAAGCGACAACTGGATACGTGATGAAGACTGTGTTCCTCGAATGCCGAATCACGACAGCCATCCTCAGCAGGGCAGATCAAGACTAATGCAGGGAGCATGGACCCTGAGTATAGAGCAACCCCCACTATCACTATACCAGTTACAAATGTATTGTGTTGCATTCCCAACCCCCGACCGCATCTAATTTGATTTCAACTTTTTACTGCCTACAGTAAGTTGCGTTTGTAGTCGCGTTCTGTTCTCCACATCCAACGGAGCGGAAAAAAAAAGATTGTCAACCCGGTATATATACAATAAGTTATCTAAACAGACATCGCACTACTGATACTATCAAAGTTTTCACGTGAAGTCATTATTCGTGAATCATCCGATTACATGCTGCAAGATGCCCCTTCCACAGACACCTCCTTGCCTGTGGATGGTCGGTCCTGACTGCCATTTCTGCACACCGAGGCACCTGTCAGTGTGCGTGAAATTCAGATATATGCACCTGCAGAGGCTTCAGAGGATAATGCCGCAAGTTTCCTCGATCCGTCTCACTGCCAGTCATCGACTCTCCACGGACATCAAAATGTGACTGTGATTTTTGCCCATTGCGATTCGAATGATTATCATGTAGAAAACAATAGAGATGATCGGCGTGAGCTGGTTGATCGAAGGTCAGTACTTTTCAGTGATATATGCTAGTCGGTGGAAATCACCAGTTCTATCATGACAAGCGGACCAGCGTTCGAGCATATGCAGAGTGATTAATGTGCAGAGGAGCGCTATGGAGTATAAAATAGCAGCATCCATGACCACCCGTAGTATACTCGTCGTGGTGATTTTCGTAGTGCATCTGTTAGCGACATTGCGTTCGATTTCCCAGATGCGGTACGCCAGTAACCCTGAACAAAATTAGGTTGGTATCATGATATAATACTAGGAACAGGCAGAAGCACGCTTACCTGAACTCAACAAATTAGTCGCAATTGTCAAGCCAGAAAATGCCGAGATCCATTGTTGAGTCGCTTTGCTGAAGATGTGTCCGGAAGTGCTAGTTGTGTGCGAAAAGCTGTAGATCGAGTATCCACCGGTCACTTTAAGACGACATCAGAGCATGCGACTTGTTGTATGTATTTGGAACCTAACCTGCAACACCGCACCACAGCATGCTGGGTAAGATGATAACCCAGATGGTTTGCCAAACGACGTAACAACGATAAATCTTTATCCAAAATCCATTCTACATCAATTCAAAATGGCAAATATACGATTGAACTCACCACCACCCCATCGCCGAGTAGAGTTTGCAAAACAACTATTGCGTTGTTGATCACAAAGGTTCCTCGGGAGATGTCTGCGAAGAACGCATCCGGCCTGCCTGGAAGTTCGTCACGGTATTGTATCAGTCCTTCTTCAGTCCGAATAATATCTATGACCATATGCTCGGAGGACTTCAGCATGTGACATGAGATGTAAAAGACAAGAAGCTAACCGCAGTGCTCAATGTGAACAGCAGGACGGCCACAGCAGCGATTGGGCGATTGACGTCCCGCATGTGACGTTTGTAGGTCAGCGCCCAGATGGTGCCAATAAACATTAGAACAGAAAAGCCTGGGGAGCGCTATCTTGATAGGTATAGGACAGACGAACTCATTGAGATACTCACCGTATAATATGCTTTCAAGTACTATTGACATGATCGCAGCGCTATCCAGCGGGATGCCTTTTCCAAAAGTCATGGCAAAGATGATACCCTGGGGATGTACGAGGCCTGGCGGTTATGAGGCCTGACAAATTTGCCAGTAACGTGTCCAGTCCCGTGGATATCATGATTCTAGCAGGGCTTGGACTATTATGATGATCATCTTAAAATTCCAAATCAGCATCCATGAGGTCCAGGTGGATATTTATATCCAGTGCTTCTGTCGTTATTGATTGTAGAATCAGTGAAGCTGTTGTCTGAACGTGCTTGCTGTACAGCTTTGACCTAAAGTGTTACCACCCACATGTCACCCAACGAAACGGTTGCTTACAGGACGAGGGCTCCGTGCTCGATATTCGAGTCAGTAGCGACTCTTCATCAAGTGACTCTGAATTGGAAGTGACCACCAGACTGGATTTGGAGAAGGTATGAAAGAAACGCGCCCTGAGGATAGTGTTTGATATTATGTAATAGCTCGCAGACTCATCTCGCCGTCGCTATCGGATTCGAAACATGATGTGATTCGAAGATTTAGAAGGTAAAGCTTAATCCATGCGTTCAGGAACGTATGTGTCCCACGCTGTTGGGAGCCGATCTACTCTTCTCTACCAGTCTGCGCAACACATCATGCCGTGCGCTGTAAACAAGCATATCTCCCATCCCCCACCCGCTAACAGTTACAATAGACCATCTGCAACCTTTCCTTGGCCAGACTTTCTATGCAAACTCCTCCCTTCTCTTACAGATACAGTTCTTCTCATTCGCACCAATGAGCCTCGAAATCCTATGGACGCATGTTTCTTTCATCTGTTTTCTTCACAGTTGACTCGACGATCCCCTTGCCGTTCCATGCTACAGCGCCCTTGCTTCGTCCACTTGTAAATCCCCACGAGAATGTGAGACGTTGTGAGTGGAGACCGCCATCATCACATATATTCGACTGACTTTTCTTAGTTTCGAATTACACTGGCACGACCTGGCACTCAATCCGCTATTCTGCTTCGACATCCTTCGAAACCCGCCTACACAGGCTGTCAACCTGGCGGCCCCTTCAGACAAATGTGCATCGCCAGCTATTGTCGACAATCCTCTTGCACAGGGTAAAGATGTATGTGCGGCCCATTTTTCTCACTTTCCGGAGCGAATAACACTTATTTGTGGGATGTGCCGACTTCTTGCCTTGTTGAAACGATCAGCAATATTTAGGTACC